AGTATATTTATTTGTAAGGAATAATAAATGTGTTATTAGCTAAATAATTTTAAATGGCAATGTACATACATATATGTGAAAGGGCTAAAATCGCTACTATTACTATTCACGTCTCATATTCATCCGAAACGACGATGGAAGGCCTTTTGTCAAAATTGACATACAGCTCGCGCCTTTTCAATATTCTGAAGGCATTTCATACGATTACTGGTGCTTCAAACACTTCTTCCCTTTTGGAACTTGTCCGCAATCGTACGCCCAGAGCACACCGGCTTGCCCAGATCGCACCAGCTGGCACAACCGCTTTTTTCTCCCTCATAATAACATATCAGTGTATAAAAATATTGCTTTATCGAAATTTAAATTCAAAGTTCGAATACAGTTTGTACCATTTTAGAAAAACACTTTGGAAATTGCATAGTAACTTTCAGTAAGGTCGCTGTTAGAAGCCTGAAAATAAATAGAACGCTTAGGTAATTGTAACAATAGTTGGCCTATAACGATAACATATGGCTTTTAACGTTCTACCAGGTCTTTATCTTAATTAAATATCGTTTTACGTGAAAACAAAATGTGAATGGTGTGAGAACGAAAAATCTACCATCTAAATAGCAGAATCTAAGAAGAAGATACATTCCATAATAATATAGTTATTTATAATTGGCATTCTACCACTACGCGCTATAATTGTCGCCTGCAGTATTTCTGTGCCAATAGGATCTACAAACCTCAAAGGTGGGAAAGGCATTTTGTGACTTACAGTTGCAGGGGTACATAGGCGGCGGTGGTCACTTACCATCAGATGACCCGTCTGCTCATTGGTCCCCTTATAACATAAAAAAAAAGTTCTATCACGAACAAAATAAAAACTTGAGACCATTTCATTCGTTGTTTATCTATCTATACTTCAGATTCAGATATTATACGTCAAGGGCTGTTCGGAGGGCTGCTTTCCGCGTGTCCCTCTGTTTGGCAGAGGGCATAGGGGAGAGCGGGCTGGGGGCGGACGGGTCCACTGCAGCTGGCTCTGTCCAGAGGTGGGGGACACTGGTCTGACGCAGACCACCGTCCGGCCATGTCGTAACCCTGACTGGCAACGGTCAGGAATGACGGCTCTTCGAGGGCTACGAGGAAGGCAACCTCTATAAAAGACCCGGTCTGGTGCAGACCCCGTCCGGCCCAGCCGTAATCCTGAATGGACAGGACCGTTGGATCTTCGGATCCGCGAGGACGTAAACCTCTATAAAAAATGCTCTAAGCCCACGCTCTGACGCCTGGCAAGGGGCTGAGTCGCTGGAGGGAGTCCAGTGCCGAAGGCGTCCCCGTCGAAGGACGTTAAACTAAAAACCATGACATGAGGCCAAGGATTATTAAATCTACCCAGGAGGGTCCCGGACACACAGTGTCTGGGGAATCCCTCCCGGTGCCAAACGGCTCCGGCAGCTCCCACTCGTATTCTGGGGGGAGCACCAAATGTCGAACCTGCCTGTCGCCGAGCGGTAAATCCGGCGACGTTATCGCGGAGGACGCGTAAAACCTGGAGGTAGTGTCGAACACCGACACTGCCTCGGAGAGGAGCGGAGCGAGTACCCCTATGGTCTCAGCTGCGGAGCAGCACCAGAAGGGTACTCCAAAGCGCAAAAGGCGCTCGCTTCGCCTGGGCCTGAAGAGGCAATTGGAGACGGCCTCGAGCGACGAAGCCACGGCTCCCAAAGTCGGCACAAGCCGCAGAGGCGCTCGCGGCGGAGGCCGACTCCCCAAAATCAGGTTGGCCCAAACGAAGGTGGCGGTCCAGTCCGCGGCGCTGGGAGACGCCGAAAAGGAGGGTCTGGGACAGAGAAGACAGGAGGGGGTCGCGTCCGAGATGTCGACCACTGATGTGGGGAGCGGGGGTGGGGGTGCTGGCCTCGATGAGCTGCGAGGCAAAACCGGCAACCCCGTCGACCGGATCGAGGAGGCAATCGGCGCGGCCGATTGCTTGCTTCAGACGTCCGGGGTGGCCGGGGGCCCCCAACAGGAGGCCCTGGTAGCGGTCGTGCGCTCCATAATCGAGGCGAGCAGACTCCTTGTGGCCGAGAGCAAGGCCCACGCTAGGGAGAGAGCCCGCCTCGAGGCGGATCTAGCCAAGGCTCGTGCCCACGCTGGTGCCACACCAGCGCCTTCGGCACCGTTGGCACTGTCCGCCCCGGAGCCGGACTTAGTCCGACTCGTTGTGGAGATGGAGGAGCGTATAATGAGGCGCATCTCTGCAATAGAGAGCGCCCGTTGTCGCCCACCTCTGGCTCCGCCAAAGGCGACATATGCGGCCGCTGCCAAGGTGGGCCTAACAGCCCAGCCAGCAACTAGGGTGGCTGGGCCGTCATCAGCGCCCCCGCCCCAGAAGGCCGGAAAGGGCAAAGGGAGGGGGAAGGTGGCCCCCCTCCAAGCCCCAGTCTCGGCCCCGGCTGACACCGCACAGCGCCCGTTGGAACGGGGCTGGACGGTAGCCGGGGAGAGTAAGAAGAGGCGGAAGGCCGCCAAAAAAGCGGCCAAGAAGGCGAGGAGGGCCGCCGCCGCCGCTGCGAAGGGAGCGCCGAGGAAGCTCCGCGCCCCTCGCTCCTCGGCCGTCGTTATCACTTTGACGGCGGAGGCAGCGGAGAGGGGCGTGGGTTACGCCGAGGTCTTGACAAAAGTCAAGGCCAACGTGGACCTCAAAGCCCTCGAGATTCCGGGCGTCCGGTGTAAAAACACACGGACGGGAGCCCGGCTCTGTGTAGCGGCGATAGTTGGAGATATAGCGGTCGTGGCCGCTTATTTCACGCCGAACCGAAACCTAACTGAGTACGAGCAATGGCTCGCTCAGCTGGCCGTCGTCGTCGATGCCTGTCGCCCCCACCCGGTTAAAGGTATTTTATGGTATACAGGTTGATAAGTATTAGTTGAGAAATACTAACATAGTTATTATAAGCAAAAATTTTTAGACGCGTGGTAGGATACGTGGCACATTGACGTGTCATGTCAGTTTTGTCAGATATGAAAGATTGACAAATTGAAAAATGTTGCCTTTTTCAAACCTTACTTGATTTTTAGTTTCTTTGTATGTTGTTTTATTTTTGTATGCTGTGCTTTATGAAATAAATAATATTCTATTCTATTCTAAGTAGGTTTGTACTTCACCATTATTATAAGTTAAGATTCCTAGTATTTTCTGTTCGTAATAGTGTGTCAGTTTCTAACCTTGTAGCATCAAACGCTACCACGATTTCCCACTGTTCAGGTCATCTGTGAAAATCCGGTTCTTAATAATAAATAAGCACGAAATAAAAAAATACTGGCCTCCTCCACAAATCTGTGTTGAGCTCGTCGGCTTTGAATTCAATAATAAAATAAATGTAAGTTGAATTTCACAATTTAAATGACAGTCTTATAGTACTCTAGTTAAAGCTTGGCCACAAACCACAACGAAGCTTTATAAGTCTACGTTGTGGCTAGTGGCGGAGAAGGTTTCTACAAATTTACATCGAATAATCAAGTTTCATTTTAAACTAACTAGCAAATTACATTCTAAAAGTACTACACAAAAAAATCATATTTAAATAGAGTTACTAACATTATACTATATTTTCTATAAGCATATTTCTACTGTTTTGTATTACACATCCGTGTGGTGGCGTATTAAGAATACGGAGTGTCACTACTCGTATTCATCCCGTTGAGTGTCGTAAGAGCCGACTCAGGGAGCAAGCGGAGAAGGCTGTTAAAAATTTGCATCGAATAATTAAGTTTCATTTTAAACTAAATAGGAAATTACATACTACACAAAAAAAAACATATTTAAATTGAGTTACTAAATTACTCAAGGTATATTTTCTATATGCATATTTCTACTGTTATATATTACACATCCGTGTGGTGACCACCCCTATTCATCCCGTTGAGTGTCGTAGATGCCGACTCAGGGAGCAAAATACGACTGCCAAGAAAATAAAAACTTGACGCAAACCCTATAGGAACCCGTATGGCCAGCGTGGTATAGTAGGCCAAAACCTCCTTTCTAAGAAAAAGTCTATATTTAGAGGTGGACTATTTAAGGCTATTGATGAATAATGATGATGATATATACAAATTCTTGATACCTTTTTATGTATACAAACGCTAATTAGCAAGTTTTCTTCTTTTCCTGTGTATTTAAATTGTGATTATTAAAACAATTGTGAGATAACCCTTCTATTTACTCATAACCATGAAAGTGTAACAATTTCGGGTACGCTAACGTAAGAAGTGTAAGACCCCTTCCGTCGTACTTACATATTATGATAATGTATGAAGCAGTGTTATAGTTATGAGAGCCTTATCGGGATTCGCAAAATACACGTCACTCCTTGTAACCTGGGAACTTAATTACTTACCCGCTTACTAGAACACAACACGCTCAAACTAGTAGGTACTGAGTCTTAATTCAGTCATGAAGTTTACTAAGTTTGTTTACTAAAATTTACACCAAAATATAAACTATATAAAGTATGTATAGTAGTACAAGGAAGGGACCCAGTACTAGGAATTGCTGGTTTAGTGGTTGGTAAACCAACCAACAATAGTGACTCTGACTGCTACGCCCGAGGTCGTTGGTTCGATTCCCAACCAAAGCAAATAAATATGTGACGAGCACAACCATTTTTTCTATGTCTAGGTGTTATTTATTTATATTATGTATGTATTGTTAAATTGTTAAATGTTTATCAGGATCTGAGATTACCATAGTACAGGCTCTGTTTGCTCTACTCTGATATTTTAAATAAAAGTTTAAATAAATTGTAAATGGTTTAAACATCTATTTAATTAAAATGTATGTGAATATTTAGACTTCTTCAAACTAAGCCCGTTATTAAGGATCAATATCTTTAACAACATTTCCTTTTCTTTCTAGAACGCTACACTCTTATTTGAATTAGTGGTCCTTTTCCGTACCGTTTTGTAGAAATATGCTACTCCTATACGGCTATAAGTTTCATTCTTTCTAGGTTAATCACCTGTTGTGTATTGTGCCTACTTGGGTACGCGGTGTGCTTCGGCCTCACGATCGCCATCATTGCAGGCATCGCCTACGGATATAATTACTCCTTGGCTGAGTTTTTGACATTCACACGTAAGTCAATTTAATTCACTAGGATACCACTTCTCTTTGTAATAATACCAGTGTTTCGAATGTTGTTGAGTGTTGAGGAAAGTTTTAAAAAATAAAACAAAATGTCATATGTAACACGGCAACCTCTAACTCCGTAAAATTATTTAGACCTAAAATAGAATTAGAAGCTACAAAATAACATCACATCATCACATTAACAGCCATTAATAGTCCATTGCTGGACATAAGCCTCTCCTTAGAAAGTTAAAGGCTATTTTGTTACAAAATAATATCAAATAAAAACCCTAAAGACTTCAATCATTGTCATCTTTAGTTAAAAAAGCACTCAACAACACTCTTTTGACTTCAATCTACATTTTGTTGTCAGAGATTGGTATGTAATAGTGATCTTGTTAATTCCCATAAGTACAATATAGTATCATGGAATGCGAATGTTTAAAAGTTAATTTAACGGTTATGAATGAATAAATAAAACGCTTTCGCTTATTTTTGTGACTCCATTTTATCTTTATTATAAATGAAAATAATAAAAAGAAAATATTAATAAAACTTAATGTCTGCTATAATTACCCAGTCTTATTTTATTGTGAGGTGTTAAATGCCGTTTGAAACATTCAATTCCTTTTATTAGGCACGTTAAAATGTTTATTGGTTCTTATTTATAAGCTCCTACTTTCTTACTATGCTTATTTACGTATAAATTAAATTGGGCGATAAAAGTAAAAGCGGTTGAAATCGTTTTCGGAAGATAGACTTCTAGAAATTGCAAGGTTAATATAATTTTTAATGACTCTATTAAGGCTTCGAGGAACAGTTCACTACTTTTTTTATTAAATTGCTATTGAATTTTAATAAGATGAATAAGATTATATTTAAATAAAATATTACCATCAGACCACCGCTGATTAAAAGCCTCCTCCAAGGAGCACGAAAAAGCGCGAGTCCAAAAAAAAAAAATTGTATTATAATTTTTTTATTATTAAATGGCATTATTTGTTTTGCCATTCTGGCTGTTCTTTATATACCTACATAAAATTAGGCCATTAAGAACCTTATTATGTTATTTACTTTTAAGTGATAATGTTTGCCTGTCGAAATGTATTTTTGGAAATATGATATAATACACCGATAATGATAGACAATAACAAAGTCAAGTTTTAGGCTCCGATGTGACGGTGTACATGCGGCGCGGTCAGTTCTACGACAAGCCCGACTTGCCACTGGTACGGAGAAGGTCAGGTGGTGGCGAAGAAGCTGGTAAGGACCCATTCCATAACTAAACCTTAAGAAATCAGTTTTACTTGTATTTATAGTGCTATTACTCTTAAACTTATCTACTCTTATACTTATACTTATCTACTTATACTTATCGTATGCATATTACAACAATGTATTGCCTGGATTATCTAGCCTTTTATAATTGCAAAAGTCAATTTAATTTTGTTTTTTTAGCCTTTGAAGTGTTAGCTACAAATGTAGCATTTACATGTAAGTCGTCAGAGCTACGGAAAATGACATAGGGTACCTTTAAAAAATAACTTTAACGCAAACGAAGCCATAGTCAAAACTAGTGAAAGGATAACCAAAACTTGTTGAAGTATAAAGAAAAACGGATTTTTTCTTAGAAAATATTCAAATGCTGAACGTTTTAAAAGTGACTTATAACTTCAAAAATCTTCAAACTGTAATCATTTGAATAGCAAATTTCACTGTCTGTTTTCTTCTAGTATTCTCTGGTAACCGATCTTTAGACTATGAAGAGTCTGGCAGTCAAGGTCAACCTCTAGCGGATACATGGCTGCAGTCACAGGATACTAGAAAGTACGCTGAGAAGCTGACCAAATACTCTCCTGCGAGGCGAATGGAGAAGTTTGTAGAACGACCCCAAGATCCTGTGCCAGTAAATATAGTATTTTACCAACTGCTGCACATGAATTGCATTTCGTTTATTAATTCAAACTACACGATTATGACACAAAAGTTTAGACTAAGTTCTGTTAGCAGAGGATTTGAATAGTCCATCCGTGTAAATAGGTGTTGGTTGCAAACAAAATCTCTAACGATTTACTTTTAATATTACCGACTTTAATGCGCACACATTTCCTCATGAATTGTAATAAACTGTATTCCTGATTTCTTAATTTTCCATCCTTAGGTGTAGTATTTTTTCCTTAAATTTGTCCAAACGGGAACTATAGGGTTACCCTGAGTTTAGTTACCCTTACATGTATAGGTTTGGTTCCACTTGTATCTTCTAGCTTTGATCCAATTAATACGGTGAATTTTCTTTTCAGTCTAAACCACAAGTTATTTCAATATTTCCCAGTCCATTACTTGCAACGGTATCATGGCAGAGTGGATCTTCAGAAATAATAATGAGAAGTTATAGACCACTACAAGACATAAGTCCGGCAGAAGATGTAACAAGAACACCAGAAAATATGTTTTTTACCACAGAAATACCAATTAAATCATTAGGATTTCTCGGTGGCCAACATAAGCCAAAAAGTTTACCAGAAAGTATAGTGCACTCAGAAACTCTTGAAAGGTAAACTATATTCTGATATTTTAAAGTATTGATAATGTTATGGTTACAGGGGACGGACCGGGTTCGCCCAGGTATAACGACTATGGTTTTAGCGGTCATTTTACCGCTTCCTACAGCGCTGAGTTTTATGCGTTTGATCCCCACATGGAATAACACTTTGTGTGATCGACAAATTAGTGTTCTGAGTCTGGGTGTTCTTTATGTCCGTTTCATGTATGTTTGTAAAGTCCCAAGCGACACAGGATAATACATTCCTAGTGCGGGAGTTGTTTTTCAAAACAGAAACCAAAAACGTATGTTTATTAAATCATAACTAACATTCAATTCCAACTTAATTAACGTAAAAGTTTGACATAGTATTGTTGTTCTTTTAGCAGTAATATACCAATGCGTGTGTGGACTACAACTGCAGCAACTCGGCGTGTTGTACCCGATTATATTACAGAAGAAGTGGATGAAGATAATATTGTGTACAAACCAGTATGAACATTCTGCACTAACTGAAAGGACTACAATTTCCCGTGTCATTTTTGAAAGGTGCTAATAAAATGTATGAAAAACCTAATCACTTTATTAGTTAAACTGTACCTATTTCACTGTCTGATGTAAATTAAGAAAAGTACTACTTATAATGTAGACGATCCCTACAATGTAAAAAAAGAAAATAATATTAAAGTTTAACTCCAGGCAGCTTAGCCTGTTCTATGGTCTAAAACAATACTGAATACATGGATATTTTTAGTAATAATAACAATGAAATTTTTACTCTTTAGGGTGACCGTTTTGTAAAAATATATATTAAATACAAAAATATGTTAGAGTAACAAATATTTTCTTTGTTAATGCACATGTTGTACAAAGGCGGACTTTATGCCATAAGGCATTCTCTCCCAGTCAACCTTCAGGTAATGTAGAAATGTTCAAGCGTGTCGTGACTCGTGATATCGCGATTTATTTTTATTACACTAGCGTTTGACCCTTTGTCACACCAGTGTAATAAAACAGTGAACGCTAGGTAGTACCTACGCATAGTAGATTCTGACAGTCAACTTAGAATTTAGTAATTTTTACATTACGATTGCTTTAATAAATAAGCAATACGAAACAAAATGAACAACCTTGTCTTTGTTTATTAAAAATGGAAAGTATCACACAAAACCAATCGTAGTGTTATGAAGCGCTAGATAAGTTTTTAATCAACATTGTGAAGAAGGAGGCTGACCCGTATATAGACCGTTATGACCGAGTTTTTAATTCTGATGATAATACTTGAATTCATTGTAGTAGTGATATCTTTAATTACAAAAAGCACGTAATGAAGTTAAATAGAAAAACATAAAAAATGTAGTGTCTTACACGACTGCTAGCTGAATAAAGTAACAAGGACATAAAAAATCAATAGATTTTATTTTATTTCTTTCAAATAAAATCTATAAACGATTTATTGATATTACAACACTTTATTCTCTCATATTTTATAACTATAGATAAGGAAAAGTTTAAGATAAGAATTTGAAATACAACGTGGTAAATGAAACAGCATGAAAAACCAAATTTTCCTTTATTTTATTGTTTCCATTTGTGTTAGTGTTAAATATTGTCGCGCTTCTACAGGTAAGCTACTGTTTTTTAACATATAACAATGTACATCATAATTAATTTAACCCGCAAGGTTTTCAAACAGGTTATAGAGGGATTTTAGCTGGTATACCCCTCGCACCCACTTCCACGGCATACAACGAAATAGCCATATCTTTTTAAAAGACAACTCCCGCACTAGGAATAAATCCTGTGTCGCGGGGGACTTTACAAACATACATGAAACGGACACAAAGAACACCCAGACTCAGAACAACAATTTGTGGATCACACAAAGTGTTGTTCTATGTGTGTGGGGATCGAACGTACAACACTCATCGTGGTAGTAAGCGGCGTGGCGACCGCTTAAACCACTACGCCATCCGTAAATAACATTATTGATATCTTTCTATCATCGCCATAAATAAGAAGTATAAAAAGCTTAAGTATAAGTGTTTCATGTATAAGTCTATATATTTTATTTTATTTTAAAATTTAGAATATTGGTAAAAAAAATATATTCAGTATCATATCATTTTGAGCATTCATTATTTGTTTAATAAATCATTAATTAATCATATGCATGTTTATTAAATCGTTATTATTTTAACTATATTATTAACTATATTATATTTACTTACAAACTTTCAACTAAGTAGTTATTGCCCTCTTAGAGTACTGCCTGTCTCTGGCTTTGGTCATCTAAGTAGGTATCCCGTTTCCTTTGGCGTCCTCATGATCTTTTGCCATCTCTAGGGAACCACTCCGTGCTCTTCTTCTTTGATCTAGCAGTAGTCATCCGACATATATCTAACATCTGTAACATTGGTCATTTCCCTATTTTAATGGTTAGTAATCCTGTTTGATAATTGTATCCTTAACATGCTTCTTTCAATTTCACGTTTCCATATTGCTACTTTGTATTCTTCACAATTTCTTAATGACCAACTCTCGACACCCATTTTTTTTTTAATGAGACATCCCTTCCACACGCCTACCACTGTAACTCATGTACACCAGGATCAACAGCAGTGACCCACGAACACACCAAGTTAAGACACTCGGGAAGTCCCAGGAAATAAAAATTAAACTGTCATGGAACCTGCAACGAAATTAGTCAGAAGAAAATAGGAGGACTTGGAAATATAATAAATCCACTTCCCTCCTTAGCAAAACGGGAGAGAAAATGAAGTAAAATAGACATACACCCTTTTAAACACGGCCACAAAATATTATGGATACAAGTTGGCTATATTTGATTTCTATAATATGTATGGTAGAATCGCCTATACGCACGGAAATTCACCTAAGGTGACACTAGGTCCCCAGCATTATATTACAGCAGGATGAGCAGACTGTTCACAGTTAGATTAAGGTGTTGAGCATAGACACAATAGTGACTCGACTAATTTAAATGAATACAGTTTGCTCGTAAAGTTACCATGACCTGTGAGAAATTAAGCGACAGAAGAATTTGATTGTTGGTTGAACGCGCTTATTTTAGAAACTACAAATTCGGATTGAAAAACTATTTTAGAGTTGAATAGCCCATTTATCAAGGAAGGCTATTTAACATCACGCTACGACCAATAGAAGCCGAGCATCGATGAAATATGGTACAATAATGAGAAAACATTTATTCCTTTTTGAAAGACGCAGGTTAAGTTGCGCGGGTCAGTCAGTAAACAATAAGACTGTTTTAAATGTACTGGAATTACACTATTGTGTGTTTAGCTCATCAGTTGGTTCACAGTAACGTAAAAATTTGTTTTTTTTTTATCATATTAAAATATAGATGACGCAGATAAAGATTGGAATAAACCTCTCAAGCAAACCACCCGCAAAACTATCAAATTGCAGGCAAATAGCTGCTGGATGTCACTCAAAGCCCAAGAACTGTTCCGGGTTATGGAGAAAATTGATAGTAAGTGTGTTTACATAGCAATTGAGGAAATATAATTGAACTCATTTCTTTACTTTAGACAGCCATACTCACGCCTTTTGAATTACATTTTATATACGACGTAAACAAGTCTCTTTTACAAAAACATTCTAGATGAATACGCTGCAGTAAGAAAACAGGCGCAACAATATTTTGATAGTATGAAGCTTGACGAGGATATGATTAAGGTATGTATTCTATATATATTTTAATCTTATTAATAATAACAGTTTGTTAATGAAAAAGCTTTTCATGGGACGCATTAAATAAAATGTCACTCACCAGTGTGAGAGTTTATTTCACATTAACTCGATCAACACGGTGTTATGATTGCACCGCACTGAATTCCTGAAACGAACGCACCGAATGCGCTCGCCGTCGAAAGCGAGTTGATGTAAAATAAACTCATACTGGGCCCTCTGGAGTTCACATTTTATCAGGTATAATTTGATTCCAATCACGTAATTGAGAACAATGCTATTGATGAGAATCAAAAATAGACGAATGGGAAGTGAAGGTAGGTAGAAGACAAGGGTAACAGAGAATATAAGGTTATAGAAGTGAAGTGATTCTGCTTAAACAACAGCTTTGAGCGGGTCAAGATCACACTCGAACTGGCTTTTGAAGGGAAGTCTGATATTTCTAACTTGCCACATAAAATACAAATATGCACACATAATAGAATCGTCCTTATATTGGTTCATGTTTTTTTTTGTTACATTTTTTATTTAACAAAATTTGGTTTTAAATTATTCCGTGCACAAAATAAAAAGGCTGTAAAATCAACTTTCCGGAATCATTTTTAGGGTTCCGTACCTCAAAAGGTAAAAAAGGAACCCTTAAAAGATCACTTTCTTGTCCGTCTGTCCGTGTGTCACCACCGATTTTCACAGGAACGAGTAGACCTAGCAAGTTGAAATTTATACCCGATACTGAGGTTTATGGTCTCTATTAGGTGTATAAAAATCAAGGTCCTGAGTCAACACGATAAAAAGATATGGGCAAATTTCGATTTTCGCGAAAACTTGTAAGTACCAAAATTTACCTTAATTTTCAACTTTTTTTATTTTTCAGAATTTTCTCTTTACTTGTGCTGTAAGACCTTGCTTTTAACCAAAATTGACAATTCTAGGTCAACCGGAAGTACCCTATACGTTTTGGGTCTAAAACCCATATGGTAGTTGCCGTTGACTTAGAATCACGAAATTTGGCAAAAAGATACGTCTTACAGAACAAATAAAGGAATAATTCCAAAAAATAGAAAAACTTGTAAATTAAGATAAATTTTGGTACTTTCAAATTTTCGCGAAAATCTGCGTAAAATCTGGGTAGGTACGGCACCCTCGGCGCACGACATCATCTAAAACATCATATGACACATCATATAAAATATAATAGCATAAAAATCTGTATACGTAGGTAACTATTATGTGTATACCATGTATAAAGTGTATAAAACCAAAACATGCACACATTTTAGTAAAGTTTCTATTTATTGTGACGATCTATGTGTAGTTAGATAAATTTAGATCATAAATCATTTAAATTACTTTTGTTCTTAATGCAGGCCATATTGTTCAACAAAGGTATTGCCGACCGAGAAATTTTCAAACGAGGCCAAATCCCATCAGGAATACACTTGGGAGGCCTGTGTATGATGAAGTTGCCATATTCAATTGTGTGAGTTTAAATTCTACACATGTTCAAAGAAACTATATAAAAATCTCTAAGGTTTTTTAGATAACACTCACCTGGTATTCTCAAAGAAAAGCGTGCTTAAAAGGTGACATTTTAGATTAAATTTTTTGTAAGTATAGTTGCGTAGTTCGTTGCTCAAGTAAAATTTTATATTGATTAGAAAACAAGTCTGAAGAATTACGCCATTTGATGTTTTGTTGCTATAAAAAAGTAAAACACGCCAATACTTGTGAAGTGTTGTGGAAACACTGTAAGTTAACGAAAAAACTAGAGTATTTAATTGAGTAAAATACTCAAATTCGTTATCAAACAAAGTATTCGGTAATGGGTAAGTACGAGAATATAATACTTTTACAAACGTCTTTAAACCCCGATCTGATTGATGGGTTTGGAAAGGAATGTCAAGTATGATCTGCTGTAACCTGATGAAATGATCAATTTCATCTTCTACTACCCTTGATGTTAACTGGAAAGGTAGAAAGAAAATGATCTGGAGGCAGCAGTCCCAGAAGATGTTCAGATCAGATCGCTAAATAGCTGGAGATTTCATTTATTATCGTACTCCACGAGACAGATTGTTGACAGGGTGAAAGGGAGTCACGATCGTCACCTGTGAGAAAACGATAAGGAGAGAAACATACCAAAAGAATCGACCAGTACAGGCCAACTAAACACACAACTCTCTTTGAGCTGTGTTCCGACTAATATTTTCAATCTCTGCAAAACTCAATTGCATGATAGTCAAAAAATGGCTAACCGAAGCGCCGCTGAATGATACTTGGCTTTTACACCGTTGGGATTATAAAGTTACTCAGAAAATTGTAAAGGGTCATGGATAATAATGGTCACCACATTTGCACTTGATTAAAATTACTTCTCGATAAATATTTTTTTTATTCATAAATGTATCGAGAAACCACTAAGACAAAAATACTTTTTAAATGGCCCAATCTTTGCCGTAAAAACACTAATTTCACTACACCAAGTGAACGCATATTATTTACCTTTTAAAATAGATAATATTAATACTATCATTTATGAAATTGACCATAGACATTTATTTCATTCCTCATTGAAGTAATTTTGAGAGTAATCTATTCTTAATGGTATAAGGGACAAACGAACAGACGGGGTCACCTGATGGTAAATGATTACCGCCGTCAATGGACACCTGGAACTCAAGAGACCCAAGTGAGTTACTGCTGGGAACATGTTTTTCCTAATCTGCTAGAGCACTATTGGATTTCACTTGTTACACTACAATCTCGATAAGAATCCCTACACCTACTCGTAGTTTTGCTATGAAATAAAACGACTGCATTAATGTAAAATCACTACAATTTATCTTTCGTATTTTTTTTGCTATTCTTCCAAATTGCTTCTCGCATGTACAAGTTAGGGCAATGTCAAGAAGCAGTTTGTATTTCTACATAACCGCTAAATAAAATCTTTGGGACATCTAATAAAGTATAACTTTGTCGTCGAAGCCTGATATGAAATACCTGCTTCAGTTTTATGGCCTGTATTATTATAATTATGGCCTGAATCGTTTATATAGAGTGAATAAATTTCTTCTGTCTTCATCTTTATTGTCACTTACCATCGTGTAACATAAACATAACAAAACGAAATATAATTATAAAGAAAAAAAGAGTTACTGTTCGAAATACTTCGCTTACTTTAACTTCAAATTTCCAATAACCTTCAACTTTCTCGATGTGCAGATTTTTTCACCGAATGAAACTTCGAGAAGACACATCATTTCAACTCAACTATTTGCACAATGATATTGAGAACATGGTACTAAGGATTAACATGTCGCTAAATACTTTACATCTGACAGGCGCTTACGACCGTTCTATGTTGGATAGTGATCCTTCAGCTCTCATATATTCACCTTCATTTGGAGAACTAGAGTAAGTAATTTTTTTATCTCTTTTACTAGCCAAAAAATTTAATTGATAAAACATACTGTTAGGAATACAACCGTAGTAGGTAAATGAAAATCAGCATAACATATGAAATCTGATTTAGTGATTTAATTAAATTCTTTTTTCTAGAATTTCATTAATCTTCTGTATTTATTCGTCTTTCTTTTTTCTGATTGCATTTATTTCTTACTTACGATTTCTTTTTTACACGCTTTATATTAGCTTCACTTGTATGTTTGTAACCGACTCCTTTGGGCGTGATTTTGACTGACTTTAAACGGTCAGAATTCGTATTCAAACTTTGTAGATATATCGAGGACCGATGACAATGCACTAATTTAAAAAAAAATGGTTTTAAAAATAAGAAAATAAATTTGAAAAACAGCGTTGGGTGCCTGTTGTCAATAGTAAAAAGCACCCCACGCTTTTTTAATTTCTATTTTCTATTTAGTTAGGTTTTCTATAAAACACGTGTTTTTTAGTTTTTTTAAACTATTTTATTTTTTAAAGTGATAATGTTTTTATGAGATACAAATACAAAAATACAAAATGTTTTATTTCGTTACCAAAAATAAGTATAAAAATATTCGTGATTGGAGCTTCCCTTTAAGCAAATGATGCCTGTATTAGGAAACTCCGCTCTTCCATAGCATAAATTGTAACATAGTTGGTACACGTACATAGTGGAGATTTTGTGTAGTTTCTACGAGTGAGAAAACATATATTCTCTAACTGCCTTTGGTAAAGCTGCCTTGAACCAACAAATTAATGGAGTAAATACACTTGCTCGCATTTGCATTATGAGTCTTATTACAATATTTTTAAGCATACAGTTTTAAGAAATGAAATGTTTTGTAATAAAGAAAGTAAATAAACTATCTTGTTTCAGAGTTGTGATGAAAGACGTACAATATACAGTACAGGGTCGCTACCGATTGATAACAGAAAGGCTAGTGATCGAACTTATCGTATCAACCCTAGACACTAAAGATATCGTATTGACGGTACCTACTCTTTTTGCTGTCATAGCCTAAAAATATTTAAGTTTACACATTTACTCATACCGTTTACATGATACTATATATGAGATTTCACAAGTCGAACTTTCGTTTAAATTTGATTCTACAATCTGTCATTGGAAAAGCCAAAACAAAGTGCATACAATGGTTCAGTTTTGGCCGAAAATTTGGAAGATAATTCTCGTTATGGAAGTCCAAACCACAGATAAATACCTGCAGATACTAAAGACTGGGTAGACCGATACAAGTACAAATATAAATACATGTATCTGAAGTCAATTTCTCACTTGACATCTTTAACAAAGTCTGTTACATGTATTTAGGCTAACAAACCCCTAATAAATGTTGTATTACTCATATTGTGTACTAAACAGATATCCAAGTATATACCTAAGCACGTTTTACTCGTATATCTGACCACAACTTTAATCTTTAAATATGCCTGCTATCAAAAACCTTTGAAAAACGTTATTTCAGTATGCCAAGTTAAATGAGACCGAACCACCGATACCGCTGGAAAAAGAGCACGTGGGTAAGAATATTGTTATTGGCGTATGTATGAATATTGTTAGTACTCTGGCCGACGTAGGGTCAGTGCTGTGCTTGCCAAGTGAAATGATGGCGTGAAAACGCCGTGGCTGCAAGATTATAGTATCCTTTTTGAGGCCGAGGATTCTGGCTGAGATATGATTACCTTCTCCTTGCTCATTTCTATAGGAGTGTATAACGTCGATGGCGATGATAATATTGCTCTTTAAGGTTGCTTCCAATCACGTCGGATTCAGCACTGCACATGAAAGGGCTTTAATTCATACGTCCATACATAAAGTCTGTTTTTCGTTAAATATAGAATTCGCCACATATTTATTGCGTTTATTATGCCCGTGTAGCTGACAACGAACTTGGTCATGTTTAGACTTCTATATGATCAATGAATATATATATATAATTATTTTTCTTCACGTAGATTGGTTAATATTGTTAAAGAAGAAGAAACTAATCTTTTAGGAATATGATTTCTTGGTATCACATCAAATTTTAATGTTTGTAATGTCGCAGTAGCCGTGGTACTTTATGAAAAATACTAGTCATATGATATCACCTCGTCCTCACACATATCAAGTAATGTCAGCCGCAAACCAATTGTGATCGCGGTAGGATCCATAGCACTATTAATAAAAATGTTAACGTCTTATTATTCTGCGTCTGGTAACTTTTAAAAGACCTAAAATAATAAAGTCAGTTTGTTGGTTTTGCTTTCACGCTTTAACTATGCAAGCAAAGAATAATCGATCGTCATTAAAAAATTGCGTGCATGTTGTCAACCAAGAAATAAGTAACTTTAATGCAGCTGCGTGCATGTTCATGAACCTAGAATTTGTCTTCAAGTCTGTCAAAGTTGACTGATGAAATAATTAGACGAATGGCAAAATTGACTTAAGTTACTAAACTCCTATCGTAAGCGCTTTAATTCCGGAAAAAATAGGTCGAGAAAAGAATGATTAAAATGCATATTACTTTCGCAGGAGATTTTATGGTGAGATTAAAAGCTGATTTAGACAAATGGCTTCAAGACTATTTCAATGACTATCTCATAATGACAAGTTTAGAAGATGTTCCTACGATATCAGCCCTTCAGTAAGTATTTGTAATATCCATAAATTAATATATCACTAAAATGATGTTATAAACATTTGTGGAAAACCGCCATCTTTTATAATACTCTCTCTTCGAAATTGTGAAATTCCGAGGATACATAACTACTAGCTACTCTGGAATTTTAATAAGATGCCAAAGAGTTTAGTGAAAATAAAAATAACATTAATACCGAATAAAATAAATAAGTTAAAAAGGATTCCATTGTCCACCTGACTCTATATTCTATTAAACTAGTTAAAACAAATCATTTATCATTAACATTATTCGGAGTTTGGGTGTTTTCTATGTATAATATGTATGTATTTACAAAAAAGTATATACGTATTATGTCAGTCAATCTAGCTTTCATAGTACAAGCTCTGCTTAGTTTGAAACTAGATGGCGTTGTGTGTGGAATATTATTATTATTATATTTACATCGTCACGTTACTTTTGTAAGTATACTGCCTGTATCTTCTTTCTGACACGAAACGTCCTTTTCCAAGGACTTGATAATAGCTAGAGTTCGCCAAAGTTTTACTAAAAGTCATATCTATTTATATAATAAGAAGAGGATAAGGAGTAATATAAATACCGGCAGTATTTCACGTTACTAACAGTTCGATGATAATTAAAAAATATATCAATATATTTACCGTTTATCGTATCGTTTTATAATTGTACCAAAGGAGAAACAGTTTAACGTTGACTGCACGGATGGCGTAGTAGTTTAAGCGGATACCTCGCCACTTTCCACTGAGTGTTGTGGCAAACCCACATCTTCACATGGGACAACAATATGTGTGATCCACAGACTGTTGTTCCGATTCTGGGTGTCACGACACAGGATATATTCCTAGTGCTCGAGTTGTCTTTTTTTAAACAAAAAGTTTGCAGTTGCATGCCCACTGCTCATTAAATACCTATGTTTATTTAAAAAGGTATGAAGAGTATTAAAATTATTTTAGGAAATATGACCAAAAAAAAGCTACAGAGCTTGCAGTATTTACAGACGATGCCCTAACCATGATGAATAAAAAGTTAAGAGACATAGGCGGAGATGCTATTCTCCTACCAGATTTCAAAATATTAACTTCGTACGGTCTGGTAAGGCAACTTTCTTTATTTTTTTAAAATAAAATAGATATTTATTCATATTCCAATACTTATTTGTAAGTGGAAGATATGATTTAGTTTCCTTAACTAGGAGCGATGCCTGTTTTAGTAACTAATTCGAATCGAACAGTGCCAGTTTGCCCGATCATGGCAGAGGACAGGATAAAAAGCTTTTTTTAACAACGAATAAAACTAAAATCATAATTTAAATAGCTTTTACGATATAAAAAAACACAATTTGCTGCTGATAGTGAACCTTAACTACCATATTTTATAGAAAACTTACTTTCGATATTTCTCTTAAAAGTAATCCTCGTATCCTTGTTAGAGCATTACAATGCATGGTGGTACGCTACGAGGGCTGAATACTATGTTCAGACGATCAGTAGCCACCACTATTTTGGAAAGAACAAACCTTCGTTATGTGGATGCTATTATCGGCTTCAGTGATATGAAGGTAAGCGACAGAAGTATCATTATAAAAATAATTCTTAAGAAACTTATACTTAAATATCTACAACCGTATTTTCAGTAAAATATTTTAAGAATATAGAGGTAAATGAACAGATGTGATAGTAACAGTAACACATTCAACCTTAGAGTTACAAATTGCGGGTCTTTGAGGTGAGAGAACGCTTTTCTCTTGAAAGTTTATAGTTCGTATCGAGCCGGAAATATTGCAGGCGACAATTTACTCCTCAGCAGCCTCGCACAAACAAATCTATTTGTTTGTGCGAGGCTGCTGATTTGCAACATATCTCTAATACGCGATAGAAACTGCGTGGGTTATAGCACAAAACTTTCTAAGGTACCAGTATTGACAAACTCGGAGTCAGATTTTGCATAGTCGAAAACGACTTTATTGCTTCGGTCTACAACAAAAACTGGTGACCCAGATTCTCGAGAATATCAAATCAGAACTTCGAGAGAAGCGTTTTGTGCTTAACACATTAGTTTAGCAAACTAACCGCACCATCCCTTGACCTCGGGATTCTGAGGTCTCCAGTTGTCACTGGAAACCGAATTGCCGATCATTGAATACCTGGTTGTTACGTACGTGATAAGTCAGCCCGTTCGCATCTTATCGATGTCTGGTCGGCGGTAATCAAAATGCACGAGTTCCGGAAGCGAGACTCACCAGTCTCTTATCGATTCTCGAGACATCGATCATCCCGTGCAGGTCACATTTTGAGATTGAAAATGGTTTTGAAATTAAACTTCTTCAAATAATTAAAATGTAAAATACAATTTAACTGTAACTTAGAACAAAATTACCAGAATTTGCATAGTAGAAAATTGTATTTTATTTAATTGACAATCAGAATTTTCAAAAAAACATACGAAACGTATTATGAATTCGTATTATGAATCGTATTATGAATGCTCATGTTTGAGATGTGTCTACTTATATTTAATACCTCTAAGATTTTTAATAAAAAAGGTCATTGGTGGTTTCAGGTTTCATATGATTATGAAATTAACTTCCCACCAAGTCAGCATTCACCGCCGACTCTCAACGGGGCGTTCATTATGTCAACCAACGAGCTCACCGCCCATTTATCTTTGGGCTTCTTAAGCGACAGAGAAATTTTGGAATTAGACTTTGACATTATTAAACGAATGGGGTAAACCGATCATCATATTATTCTTATTACCATAGAAAATTTATAAGAAATTCGGTATGGTACAAATCTTTTGTTTTTTGCAAGCAATTTTCAAATTAACTTTTATTAAATTCTTTCAACGCATCACTAATATATACATACAAATAGTATTAATGCGAAAGTATATCTGTCTGTCTATCTGTCTGCTGTGCCTAAATCGCTGTACCGATTTAGATAAAATTTGGCACAGAGATAGTTTGAGTCCCGGGAAAACACACAGGATGGTTTTATCACAGGAATCATCCTTTAAGGGGTTGAACAGGGGGGGTGGAAGTTTGTATGGGGAATCAATAACAACTGTACCGATATGGATGAAATTTGATATGGAGATCATTTAAGATATGGGAAAGAACATAGGCTACTTTTAACCGACACACACGCAAGCAGAGACGCGGATAAAAGCTAGTATTATATTCATGGGAAATAGAATATTGTCAAGGTATAAGAGGGCAAAGGAGCAGACAGGTCAACTGATGGTAAGTGATTTTGACTGGACGGATGGCGTAGTAGTTTAAGCCGTCACCTCGTCGCTTTCTACTGCGCTGAGTGTTGTGGGTTTGATCCCCACATGCGACAACACTTTTTGTGATCCACAAATTGTTGTTCTGAGTCTGGGTGTTCTTTGTGTACGTTTCATGTATGTTTGTAAAGTCCCAGTCCCGCGGCACATCATTTATTCCGGAGTTGTCTTTTTTAACAAAAAAAAAAAAACTATTTTCGCCGTAACTCTAGAGTCACAGATGCGTGGCCGGGCATTAAGTTTTACCTCTCCCCAGATTTGAGGAGAGAGGGGTTTGTGACTCCGGTAACCTCACTCAGTTGGTGAAAAGCAACGAAAAAAACAGTGGCACCTCGGGAGTGCCGACAGAAGTGAAAACTTATATACAGAGGTGATGGTAACTGTAAGGGTTAAAGTGTCGCGAGTTCAATTGTTTTTTCCCATCTCAAAAAATACCCAACGCGCCTAAATAAGTTTTCACTTCAACAGAGGTGTCAGTAACGGTAACAGTGTCAAGAGTTCAATAGGTTTTCCCATAAAATACATTATTTTTTATGTTGTCCAAAAATGCCCAACGTGCCTACAGAACTTTTCACTTTAAAAATTGCTTAACACCGGTCTTCTGTGAGGCCTATCACTTCGGGCGAGCCGGCTCTTTTGCGATGAAGCATGGCTCTCACACGGAATTATTTTACAACTATTATAGAAATAGATATACGCTTTGTGATGAAACTAGTTCTCCCTCACAACGTTTGTTTAGACTCTATTCATGGACTTATATGTATTATTCTCTATCTTATCTTATAACAAGATCGTCAACATATATTTAATTTAACATTTCAGGGTAGAGTCTATAACAGTAGAAGGCGGCGCCAACTTACATATAGCAAACTTCAAACATTTATTGCAACATGAAATTGCCACTATAATGTCAAGCTCCGTAACATATGGCGTAAGATTGCTCAAAACTCTTCCAAAATGCGGTAAGAATTATAATATTTTCTATTCTTAAATAAAACAAATCCTAACGAGCTAATTAATAAACTGAATGTAATCACTATCCCTATTAAATTAGAACTATTTTCTGCTGTCAAGAGATAGAACACTAACTAACGACATTTGAATATTCTGAAACCTAGGAACAAGGCGTGAGAATAGAACATTTTTTCTTGTTTTTTCTCTTCACGATCCTGACATTATAGTTTGAACTTCTAGCATATTCGCCTATATTTTCAGAAATGCTTATTTCAAGTTTTATCTTATGTGTATTGTAATTTTAGAACCATTCGTTCCTGGTATGCTTAAGAAGAAGGCTGTAGCAGAAATGGACAAAATTCGGACTACTCCACAGAATCTAATCGTTTTAGTATCTAGCAAGGAAAAAGTCTCTACCGAGAATGAATAAAACAGAAAATATCGATGTTTAAATGCATGTCGACAAACAAGAGTTTCTAAGATAATGTAATGCCTTGTGTCTCGGTCAGATGGTAGAAATAATCATGATTATTAATAGTCGTCGACCATGTCATGAAATGTTTTCAGTCCAGTGTTCAATGTTTATATTTTAAAATGTTAATTTCAAAAAGTACACGAAATTAGATGTTAAAGCTATTACTATTTCACTTCATTTTAATTTTCCAATTCCAGTTCATATTCTTTCTTCAATTTATTGATTTGTTTAAATTGTATCATGATAATATTGCAAATAAACTGTTATATTATTTGTTAAATGCCACGATATGATCAATTCTACAATCTGGTCCTAATATTTACTGATTAAATATATTATTTTAAATCAAACAGTCCTTTATTTTAGAACCTTTTGACAAAAATACGTACAAGTTTTATTACTTTTTAGGGTTACGTATGTCCGAATAGAAAAAAAAGGAACCGCCATAAATTACATCTGAATCTATTTAATCATACTAAAATTTAGTGCACCTTAACCTAAAATTTATAGTCAAAAATGTGTCACTTGCAATATATTTAGGTTAAGTATTAGTGTTCCACATAAAATTAACAAATAAAGTAAAATAAACAAATTAACTAATATATTAAAAAACACAAATTCTGATCCAAAAGCGATTGTCAAATCTTAAGGTAGTCCGAATTACTAGTGTCAAATTGTAATGTACGTCGTGTTAATTAAGTTCTTATATCAGAACGATCAATTTTAAAAACTGTTGTGGAAGTGTAATATCTTTAACTTTTTCCTTACTAGATTAGTAAGGAAAAAGTCTCTACCGAGAATGAATAAAACAGAAAATATTGATGTTTAAATGCATGTCGACAAACAAGAGTTTCTAAGATAATGTAATGCCTTGTGTCTCGGTCAGATGGTAGAAATAATCATGATTATTAATAGTCGTCGACCATGTCATGAAATGTTTTCAGTCCAGTGTTCAATGTTTCGATTTTAAAATGTTAATTTCAAAAAGTACACGAAATTAGATATTAAAGCTATTACTATTTCACTTCATTTTAATTTTCCAATTCCAGTTCATATTCTTTCTTCAATTTATTGATTTGTTTAAATTGTATCATGATAATATTGCAAATAAACTGTTATATTATTTGTTAAATGCCACGATATGATCAATTCTACAATCTGGTCCTAATATTTACTGATTAAATCGACTGCCGCAACGAACAGTTTCGATTCTGAAAAAAAACATTTTTTTTTTTATTGTACCAATCGATAGTGCATATAATATAGTTTTAGAAAAAATAAAAACAATTTTGAAAATAAATGTATTTAAACAAGTTTTGAGTCGAATACAATCGATACTTGACACTTTCAGCTGCGAACATCATCGAATGTTACAAGTTCGATAGTGTTCGTATGTGTCGATACGCGCGCACACTCCGTAACTGCCTGAATCGTTAGTGTTCGCCGTTATGTGAGAGAGGAAGCGCGGGTTGTTTTCGTTTAGTTTTAAGAAGTTTATATTTCATAGTTTCGTTATTAGTGTTTTGTTATTTCTTATTATAAGTTTCAAAATGAATAGTCGAGGTAGATGTATGGTTGATTTAGTTAAAAAAAAGAGAACAACATCAGAGTTGTGAAACCACACCCAACGATAAAAATTACGATCATCCCGGTAAGTGTACATTTTCTTTACAATTTATTTATGTAATATTGAAAATATGTTTTATTTTAATGTCTAGTTCTTCGATCTTTGAAATAACTAATAATTATGATTTACTCGTGTCCACATGGCGGTTAGCAAGTTAAACTATCGAGTGTGGTAGATTTGATAGTGTTCCAAGTGTACTTATTGTTGACAAATATAGAAAGTGGCATTTTCGATAGTATACGTGTACATTATAAGTAAGACATTTATCGAATGTGATACTTTCGATTGTATACTATGGAAAACATTTATCGAATCTACCAGTTATTATATTATTCTACGCTGAATACTTTTTATTTATATATTCGATTGTTTACAGTTTTTTATTGGGTCTTCTTTTCATCTAATAATTCAAGTAAGATATTAAATTACTTATGTTCTTTTTTGTTTTAGAATCTCCTGTACATTAGAACGACTATATGATGTGTTTCCTACTTCACAAGCCGACGAAGACAAGACTAATGAGTCTGGCAAATGACTCCCACAATATTATACTTGACAGTGAAGAAGGTACACCTCACAAGACATTAATTTCGGATCACCACTGACTGAAGAAACTGTAGGGACGCCTACGGGATCTTCAGTCAGTTCAGTAAATGAAGAAAGTACGCCTGCACAGTTGCTCCTTTCCCAACGAGACCCTCTCATTGAAACAACGCCATCTGTAACTGACGACCCAGTAAACGTCCCAAGTATAGGTTAACTGATTTTGACATCCGACAATGACTGCTGTATTACTCCTACTTTATCTACTTCACACAAGCGCATACCAACACACAAAACTGATCCTGGTCGTAAACGAAAACGACATGTCAAAGAGTGGGTTGATGTTCGTACAAAAATGTTGAATAATTCTGGGCAACAATATGTTTCAAAAAAAGGTAAAACCGTTCCAGCTAAAATCATTAAACCACCATGTCCTTATACCTGCAAGCTGCAATGCACTAAATATTTTAGTGAAGAAATTCGAAAAAACATTTAATGAGTTTTGTCGGTTATCCGATCACACTAAGCAGTGGGAGTATATAAACAAACTTACTAAAAGATTCGATAAAAAAAGAATGACAACTGAAAAACCATCTAGAAGAAAATTTACTACAAAATATTACACTTTTGACTGCGAATGATTCCACCTACGAGGCTCAGCAAGTGTGTTTGAAGATGTAGGTACTGTGGCACTCTTGCTATTACTGATCAAACAATTCGAACAGCACACAGTAAATTAGATGCTTGTGGAATTACTAGCAGTGACAATAGAGGGAAACATGTAAATCACCCAAAAAAGGTGGACGACGAGATGATACGAAGTGTTACTGACCACGTAAAGTCTTTTTAACCCGTTGAATCACACTACACCAGAAAAAATACCAGTAAATTTTATTTAGACAACTCTTTGAGTTTCAATAAGATGTTTGCAATGTACAAAGATTGGTCTGAATTATCTAAATATAATAACAAAGCAGAGACTGAAAGACAATACCGAAATATTGTAAACGAGCACATAAACATTGCATTTTTTATTCCGAAAAAAGATTTGTGCGACAATTCTTCAATTCCATCCCACTGAAGAACAGGCTCATAACAAACACATTTCAAATAAGGGAACTGAACTGAACTACCCTTCTGGCGAAGTGTCTCTTTTTTATTATAAAATAAAGTTATCACTGATGCATTTGACAGTTTTTGACGCTGGGCTTAAAGAGGCTTCTTGCTATTTATGGCCACAAAATGTTGGTAAACGAGGAGCAAACAAGGTAAGGTAGTTGCTTCTTAGATTTCATTGAACGTAAGGTATCTAGAGGTGCACTAGATATGAGGTTTTGGTCGGACAACTGTAATGGACAAAATCGTAATAGAGTGTTATACAGTACATGTACGCAAGTAACAAATTTAATATTGATATAACTCATAGATTTCTGGAGCCTGGTCATACACAACAAGAAGCAGACGCCACTGTATTCAGATAGTTTGCCAATTCCGGAAGTTAAATATAAAGACTTAATGATTCTTTCCGAAGCAGGACATATACCTAAGCAATACCACACCTTTTTTAAAAATCTTAAAAGGTGTCAAATTGAAAATGTTTCGGGTAGTGATGAAGATACTTAGATATTAGAATTAAACAGTCTAAATAGATTTTTATGAAAGTGTTTTTTTTACATTTTTTTATGAGCAATCAGCATTTGTTAGCATTTATTTTTTATTAAAAACCCAATGAAGGGTTTTTTTTTTTTTGGAATAATTACCTACGATAACAACACTGAACACATACGAGTAGGTATGTTAATTTACATGGTAAGATTGTTTAATTTACGTAATATGACTAAATTTTCTTAGGGTATAGGTACAAAGTATTAATTTAAACAAGTTTAGATATGTATATTGTGTGATTTAATTCTGTGATGCATCATTTGATTCGTTTTGTATAAGTATGTACTCGTACGTTACTCTTAATCGATCTCAAGCTAACATGGCTATTTTTTGTTTCATGATTAATAAATGTGCCTTATTTAAAATACAAAACTTGTATTTGATTTTGGGACCTCCTCCTCCTTCTTCAAAAGGTAACTATTATAAAAAATTACATTTGAACCAACTATTGAAATGTATCAAAAGTTTAGATTCGTACATAGATTATTAAAGAACAATATCGAAACTGGTATATTCGATATTTTTTATAATTTTGTAAACCACGAATATTATGGAATCTGCCACTTTCGATGAAATTGCAGTTGATGATAACAAGGTATACCGTCGAATATGAAAAATATATAAAACACAAATAAAATATTTAAATCAGGTGCAGGCAAACGAAAACACATAAAATAAGCTATCTTATAAGGGCATAACTTTTATAACATCAATATAATTAATCATAATAGATCAAAATAAAGTTTTAAACAGTTGTACTGTAAAGTATGTGATTTGTAGGTTCGATACTGTTCGTTGCGGCAGTCGAAATATATTATTTTAAATCAAACAGTCCTTTATTTTAGAACCTTTTGACAAAAATACGTACAAGTTTTATTACTTTTTAGGGTTACGTATGTCCGAATAGAAAAAAAAGGAACCGCCATAAATTACATCTGAATCTATTTAATCATACTAAAATTTAGTGCACCTTAACCTAAAATTTATAGTCAAAAATGTGTCACTTGCAATATATTTAGGTTAAGTATTAGTGTTCCACATAAAATTAACAAATAAAGTAAAATAAACAAATTAACTAATATATTAAAAAACACAAATTCTGATCCAAAAGCGATTGTCA